ATTCCAACCTTAACTCTGTCCATTACCATCTAGAGCCGGCGAAGCCGGCCTTGCTCTTTTTAACCGAGACTCAGGTGTCGTCTCCGGCTGATACTTCATATCTCTCCTACCCGGGGTACAAATTGGAACACTCCTTTGTGCCCTGGGCTGGAGTTTGTGTATACGTCAGAGAGGACATCTGTTTTCGACGCCTCGGCAGCCTTGAAGGTACGGACCTGTCCATCCTATGGCTGCGCGTAGACAGCGACGACCATCCCCGCGTCTATGGGTGCCTCTATAGGTCCCATAGCGGTAATGCCGACACAGGCCGACTCATCGACCACGTCCAAATGGCTGCAGACTCCGCTACAACAGGTCCCATCCGCAGAGATCGTGATACTCGGTGATTTCAACGCCCACCACGCTGAATGGCTTGGTTCTCGTTTAACCGATCATGCGGGTAGATCTGACTATGACTTTGCTTTGGCATATGGTCTAACACAACTGGTTACTTCCTCTACGCGGATCCCAGATGTGGAAGACCATGTACCTTCCCTGTTGGACCTTCTGCTGACCTCTCATCCGGACGGATATCAGGTCTCCGTCGATGCCCCTCTGGGCTCTTCGGACCATTGTCTGATCCGGAGCACGGCGCCACTCACGCTCCAATCGCAGTTGCGATCTGCAGCTTGCCGCCGTGTTTGGCACTATAGGTCAGCTGATTGGGACGGGATGCGGTCCTTTTTTGCATCCTAACCATGGGGGCGGGTTTGCTTATCGCCGGAAGATCCCAGCGTTGTTGCCGATTCTGTTGCTGATGTGGTACTTCAGGGTATGGAACTTTTTATTCCATCCTCTGTGGTGCCCATCGGAGGCAGATCCCAGCCATGGTTTGGTCGCTCCTGTAAAATAGCATCACGCTATAAGCAGGAGTGCTACCGGGCCTGGGCTGACGAATCAACGTCTCGGGATGTAAACACCACCGCACTTAAAAAGAAGTATAATTCCGCCTCCAGGTCCTTCAAAAGCGTCATTGCCAAGACAAGGTCTGAGGACATCGGCAGAATTGGCGAGAAGCTAGTTCGCCTTCCTTCGGGAACCCGTGCATTCTGGTCTCTCTCCAAGGCTGCCAAGGGAATTTCTGTCAGCCATCTCTTTCATCTCTGCACAGAGAGGACGACTCACTGGCCCATGCCGCAAAAGAGAAAGCCGATCTGTTGTGCTCTCTTTTTGCGTCTAACTCGACTCTAGATGACGGGGGGAACACACCGCCGACCATCCCACGATGTGAGTGCTCCATGCCGGATGTGCGATTTACACAGCGCTCGGTTCGCAAAGCACTCTTCTTCCTGGATGTCAGCAAGTTGAGTGGGCCCGATGAAGTCCCTCTCATTGTGCTGAAGACGAGTGCTCCGGAGTTGGCACCGGTTTTAACGCGTCTTTTCCGGTGCTCCTACTCCCAAGGCGTAGTCCCGAATTCATGGAAGACAGCTTTGGTCCACCCGATCCCTAAAAAAGGCGACCGCTCAGACCCGTCCAACTACAGGCCTATCGCCATCACCTCCTTGTTCTCCAAAATAATGGAATCCATTATAAAATGCCAGCTCATGAGGTACTTTGAGGATCACCAGCTGATCAGTGACCGCCAGTACGGTTTTTGTCGGGGTCGATCAGCAGGTGATCTTCTGATAGACCCCGACAAAAACCGTAGGCAGTAGAGGCAGTAGAGTCCAAGGGGGAGGCATTGGCCGTTAGTTTGGACATAGCGAAGGCCTTCGATCGGGTCTGGCACAAGGCGCTTCTTTCGAAGCTTCCTTCCTATGGGCTTCCCGAGAAATTGTGCAAATGGATCACCAGTTTCCTTGCTGATCGGAGCATCAAGGTCGTAGTAGACGGTGCATGCTCTGTTTTCAAGCCTATCTACGCTGGTGTTCCACAAGGCTGCGTGCTATCACCAACGCTGTTTCTCCTGCATATCAATGATATGTTGCTAACTGGTAGCATTCATTGCTATGCGGACGACAGCACTGGGGATGCCTTATATACTGGCCGTGCCAATATTTCTCGGGAAAACGTCGCCGAGTACCGGGACAAACTTGTGTCTGAAGTCGAGTCTTTGCTTAACAAAGTCTCGGATTGGGGCCGACTAAATCTAGTCCAGTTCAATCCCCAGAAGACACAAGTTTGCGCGTTTACCGCTAAAAAGAACCCCTTTGTCGTATCTCCTCAGTTTCAAGGCACTCCCCTCGCTGCCTCAGCCAGTATCGGAATCCCTGGCGTCGACATATCGAATAGCGTGCAGTTTCGTGGTCACTTGGAAGGGAAGGTCAAATTGGCCTCTAAAAAGCTTGGCGTGCTCAACAGAGCGAGACAGTATTTCATGCCGGTACATCGCTTGCAACTTTACAAAGCGCAAGTTCAGCCCCACATGGAATACTGTTCTCATCCCTGGGCCGGGGCACCCCAGTGCCAGCTCCTTCCACTTGACCGCATCCAGCGCAGAGCGATTCGAATAGTCGACGACCGAGTTCTTTCTGATCGGCTCGATACACCGGCACTGCGTAGAGATGTTGCATCTCTTTGCGTATTTTATCGCATCTATCATGGGGAGTGCTCTGAGGAATTGTTCGGACTAATTCCAGCCGCTCAATTTCACCATCGGAAATCGCGACAAAACTCGCGTTACCATCCATACCATCTGGTTGATTGGCGGTCGACGACTGTGCGATTTAGAAGTTTTCTCCCTCGCACAACTTCTTTGTGGAATCAATTACCACCAGCGAATTTTCCGGACCGATACGACTTAGGAACCTTAAAGAAAAGAGCTTACACCTTTCTAAAAGGCCGGCAACGCATCTGCAATTCCCTTGGTGTTGCGGTTGTTCATGGGCGGCGGTAGTCACTTACCATCAGGTGAGCCGCATGCTCGTTTGCCCCCTATTCTATATAAAAAAAAAAAACCTTTAGCCTTTTTCCTTTTATCTTCTTTTCTTCTCAAGATATTAGAAAAGGTTATAGATAGATATATTAGGGATGAAGCTATGATGCCCATACATTACAACCAGCATGCTTATCGCAAATGAGAGGCAAATCTACAGAAACAGCCCTGATCAGTGTTATTGACGGGGTCGAAAAAGCGCTGGAGGATAAAAACATCTCTTTGTACCTTTCCAGATATTGAGGGCACCCTCGACAGTAGCCCCAAATCACTGCTGGTTGGGGGCCTGTCATCTAAAAATGTTGACCCTATGATCGCCAGGTGGGTGAAGTAAATCCTCTGAAACAGAGAGGCAAAAATTGTGCTGTTTCTACACTACTACAAGAGGCTGTCCACAAGGTCAGCCTCTTGTAGTTCTTTCTTTTGACTCTTGCAGTTCCTTCGCATTGACACACAGAGTTATGCTGATGATCTTGTGGTCGTATCAAGGGGTTTTTCCCAAAGTACTTAATCATTGATCATACAAAAAGCCCTAAACACCATAAATAACTGCTAAATGCTGCTCAAACTGTTATAATACCCTCTATCAAAAAGAGACGGTCGGACAAATTAGTCACACCGAAACCTAATGGTAAAGTAGTACCATTCTCCACTGAAGTTAAGTGTTTGGTTGTATCAATTGACCAAAAACTAACATAACTCTCACCTTAGCAACGTATGTCATAAGGCTAAAATTGCTTTAGGTACATGCAGTCGTGTGGTTGTGAACAACTAGGGTTTGCATCCCAGTATGATTCTATGGCTGTACAGCAGCATTGTGAGGCCGATTTTTACCTACGTCTCCATTGTTTGGTGTTATAAGGCCAACCCAAACTTAGTATGAATTTGGGGAAATTTACCTCTATCTTCCAGGCAGAAATTTTTGCCATACTTCAGGGTGCGGAATTCAACTTGCAAAAATATTACGCCAACCATATTATCTATATAAACTCTGATAGTCACGCAGCACTGCTAGCGCTGAAACCAAACTTAGTGAACTCGAAGCTAGTTGAACTCCGTGAACCGTCTAAATGTCCTGGGGTGCAACAACAGGGTCGTTTTGAGATAGATTCCGGGTCATGCGGGTATTGTAGGCTATGAATTTGCCGAAAAGCTCGCACGACCTTCTCGTGCTCGTCAAAGAGTACATAAATTTGACCCGAGCCATTTTGTGGAATCTCATGGCAGCTGTACACGTTCGTCAAGACACTAGAAGGGCCTCTCGTCGCGTAGAGGCTCGACACTGCGATAGACCTGCAACCTGATGAAACTGTTGCTGCGTTTTGCCTTTTTGCTATTAGTTATTATATTTTTTTAACACATTTATCATTAAAAGAAAATTAATAAGCCACGACGAAGAAAAAGATAGTGGATGATTTCTATTCACTGTAACAGACCCAGTCCCACACTATATGGAGTGACAAACTGGTAAAACATGTAGGTAGTTGATAGATGCAGGTAGCTCTGGACTGTATTTTGTGGCATTTCTCAGGGGAAACCTATGTTTAGCAGTGGTTTTATGAAGGGCTGTAATGATGACTTTAAGTTTTTATATGTTTTTTTTTTCTGAATAAGCAAACTGAAATTATAACAACGGCAGTAACAAAAAATGTTATGGAAGCAATTGATGAGAGATTAAAAACAATAACTGAGGAAAATACTAAACTCAAAGCCAAAATTTCTACATTGGAGCACAAACTTAACATAATAGAACTGGAAAAAAGAAAATATAACTTGGTCTTTTTAGGAATGGAGGAGTCAGGTAAAACAGAAGCAGAGACGGTAGACTACATTAAAGACATAATAATAGAAACAGGAACACAAACAGATAGTCATGAAATCAACAACATATACAGAATCGGCAAAAACTACAATAAGAGTCGCCCCGTCGTAGTCACCATAGCGTCTTTATGGAAAAAACACATTATATTGAGAAATAAGGCCAATCTCCCACCAGGTATAAATGTCAAATAGGATTACACTAAAGAAGTACTTGAAAAACGGAAGCAGCTACAACCACAACTAGAAGAGGAAAGGAAGAAAGGAAATATCGCTTTTCTTAAATATGACAAACTGATAGTGAAGAAACCGACTGACAAAACCAGAGATAAAAGAAAGAGAGAAGATTCAAGCTCACCAAACTCATCAACCCAAAAGAAAATATACTTGAAAGAAACCTCAAAACCACCATTTGCCAAGATTGCCTCAAAAGAAATGATAAAACCTAATAATATTCGTAACTATGTCGAACGAGGTAGAACAGCCTCACTATCTGAAACCTCAAAAAACTAGCAATGACCACCGGCACCCGGAACAAGATCAAAACAAATATGACAACATTGTTCAAACCAACCTCGGAAAAAAGCACCCAAAGCCGGCTGGTCACCGTGGGGCAAGATGACCACTACCCTTCATCAAATAACAAACAGAATAATATAAATAAAAACAACCCTACCCATTTCAGAAATGTGTAATAAAATTAGTAGATTTAATTTAATATCAATATTATATATAGAATGTAAGCATGAAATCCACAAACTGTAGCTATATCAAATTTGGTTTTCTATGTATATTTATTATCATATAACTATCTGTTTTCTATTTTTTTTTAAAAATCACTTCGCTATTTATGTTAGTTGTGGTTACCTGTAAGAAGATGAACACATAGCATGTAGGCGCATTGTTAAGTTATATTTTTGTTAGTATTGTGTATCATCTGTTGGTGATCCAAATAAAGAGAAAAAAAAAAACCCTAGTTATGCAATAAAAAGCAAGAGTTTAAAATGAAGAGAACAAGGCCTTAAAATATGCACATTCAATGTGAGATCCCTATCAACAAAAGAAAGAACTTTAGAACTAAATAATGCAATAGAAAAAATAAAATGGGACATCATAGGACTCGCAGAAGTTAAAAAGATAGGATATATCATCGAAGAACATAAAGACTATATATTCTGTTATATAGAAGAGACACAGGGACTTCATGGTGTAGGCTTCTTAATAAAGAAATCACTAAAAGGCAACATATTAAGCTTTTCGGGAATATCAGAGAGAGTGGCTCTGTTAAAACTGAACTTCGAGGAGCCTTTAAAGAATTATCTACGCACAAAAATTGGATGCAAAGTCTGAACAGTGAAAAAGGTGAAAATAAAGACAGAGAAGGTATAATGAAATGTGCAACGGCTTTCTATACTTCTCTTTATGCAAAACCACCACATGATATGCCACAAGAAGAAAAATATAATAGTAATATAACTGGAGAAGATATAGCAGAAACACCAGTAAACCCAATAACTGAAATAGAAATATTGACCCAAATCAACCGACTAAAACCGGAAAAGAGCCCAGGCGAAGATAACATCACAAACGAAGCCCTCAAAATCGGAGTGCCAATCCTGGCTGCATATCTAGCAGAATTATTCAATTTAGTACTGGAAAAAGAGCAAGTACCATCACAATGGAGTAAATCAAACATAATACTATTGTATAAAAAAGGGAACCCGCTCGACATCAGCAACTACAGGCCTATCAGCTTACTATCAACAATATATAAACTCTTTTCATCAATCATCCTAGGAAGAATAGCACCAGATATTGACAAGAATCAGCCAATAGAACAAGCGGGCTTCCGGCCACACTACTCAACAATAGACCACATTCACACAATGGAACAAATAATCGAGAAATATAAAGAATTCAAAAAACCACTCTACATATTTTTTGTGGACTATTCCAAAGCATTCGACAGCATGTACACCCATCTATATGGACTGCTCTAAGAAATAATGATGTAAACAAAAAGTATGTAAATATCATAAAAAACATCTACTCTAAAAATGTAAGTAGAGTAAAACTGGAAAGACAAGGGGAAGAGTTCACAATTGGTAGAGGGGTGCGGCAGGGCGACCCATTGTCTCCAAAGCTATTCATAGCTGTACTTGAAGACATTTTCAAAAACATTAATTGGGAAAATAAAGGCATATGGATACTCAATAATAAATTAACACACCTAAGATTTGCAGATGACATTGTTCTTTTTAGTGAATCAGCGACAGATTTAGAAGCAATGCTACAAACATTAAACTTTGAAAACAAAAAAATCGGTCTACACATGAACGCATCCAAAACTAAAATAATGTCAAACAGTCAAAAGAAAACAATCAAAGTAGAGCAAAAACCGATAGAATATACTAATGAATATGTGTACCTAGGTAAATTAGTGTCCTTTGATGTTAACAGTAACGAAAACGAAATAGACAGACGAATAAGTACAGCATGGAAGAAATACTGGGTCAAAAAAGAAATTCTAAAAGGGAACTATAGTCTTAATATAAAAAAGACTATAATGGATTCTTGCATTCTCCCAAGTTTAACTTACGCTAGCCAGACCTGGGTCTTCACCGAAAAAGTCAAAAACAAAATTTCATCTTGTCAACATGCAATGGAACGTAGTATACTGAAACTGAGAAAAATACAAAAAACGAGAAATGCAGACATCCGCATGAAAACAAAATTAACAGATGCTCTTAATTTTAGTTTGAAACAGAAATGGAACTGGGCAGGGCACTTGTCGAGATACAAAGGTAAAAGATGGACTTACTAAACAACTAAATGGCAGGGCCCCAAAGGCAAAAGAAACGTGGGAAGACAGAAGAAAAGATGGTCCGATGACATAATAAACACAGCAGGAAAAAGTTGGATGCATGCGGCCAAAGACAGGGAAAGATGGAAAAGCATGGAGGAGGCTTTTACCCACAGGGCGGGCCACATAACAAAAAAAATAGGAAGGAAATTATTATAATTAGATATATTTATTATATATATTTGTAAGAATTGTTAAGTGGAAAATAAAGCTGTAATAATAATAATAATAAGTATGTTTTTATTTCAAAGTTTTTATATTTAACATTCCAGCTGTGGACATAATAAAGCGAATTGATAGTGCACACATAAAGCTGCAGTTGGATATATTTCATCTTCAACACATCTGTGGAGATTTGTCTTACAACATTAAAAAACTCATGCCCTATGTAGGGCACGTACAGGTTTGTATTACTTTTTTTTAAATAGTTTATTTTATACACTGTTAAAGTTTAAAATTATTTTTTAATGTCAAACCACTTTCCTTTAGATCGCTCAAGTGCCAAACAGAAATGAGCCAGACAGCCCGGGCGAAATTAACTACAAATATATTCTTGAACAATTGGAAATTAATGGATACACTGATTGGATTGGCTTGGAATACAAACCAGTGGGCAATAGCAAAGATGGATTGAAATGGATTAATAATTTTGGTTACTCTTTGTAATAAAAGTCAAAACATTATTTTGAATTGTGATCAATTGTATGTATTATAAATGTATAAAATTGTATATAGAACTAACGGATAAAAGTGGAATAATACAAAGTTTTACTATAATAACATGGAATATTTTTCTTTACAACTACTATTACTTAAAAGTTAAGGTGGTCTTTATGGTCAGTTGAAAAAAGGGCAAAATGGCATGGTTTGTGTGGTAGTGAAAAACGAATAGAATTTAAAAACTAATTATGTACAACCACAATCAACAATGGCATAATTATTTAATCCTATAGCATCAGAACAAAAATAAAAAGCAGTATAATAAATAAATAGCCAGTAAAATGGCTGAATGGCCAATTAGGTAAATTGTTCGACAGTTCTTGGAGTGAGATTATATTAAATTTGTAAAAAAAAGAACATATCAAATAATATCAGTAACAGATGGTTAAGGTGGGGGTGGCTAGACAAAGCCAAAGGCCCAAAACCACAAGCCAAAACATTTATATTATTTATAAATAATTCAATCATTCAATAAAATCTTAATTTACAAATACAGGTATTAACAAAGCTGTTCAAAACTATTTATAATGAGATTTCATACAGACTCCTGGTTGGGCAGTTGACACAACATGTAACTGGTCATTCAACTTTTTTTTAATTCATTTTCTTCCAATTATACAATAAACGTTTTTAACATTTTCATCTGCCAAAGTGCATTACAGTTTGTCGGCAGTAGTTCTCGCCTTACATGCTTATGTTTATATAATCTGAAGTATAATTTCTTATACATATAATAACATCTCCCAACATCTATTTTATTATTTTACTAGCTGTTCCCCGCGACTTCGCCCGCGTGTTATTTGGGATTTTGATTTTTTTTTTGTGCAGAACCCTAATTCTTTTTCAAAACTAAAAGTAGCCTAAATTACTCCTTGTGACATCAGCTATCTGCCAGTGAAAATCCCGTCAAAATCGGTACTGCCGTTTCGGAGATAAGCAGGAACAAACAGACAGACAGACACAAAAATTTTAAAAATTGTATTTTGTTATTAGTACTGCATATACTTTCATATGCATTTAGTAAAAAACTGTAATTTTGACATTACAAACAGACACTTCAATTTTATTTATTTGTATAGATTTATACATATTTAGTACAAAGTTTGTTATAGGTCTACATACTATATATACACATATACACTAATTCAACACATACTCACACAGTACACATCGCATATAGACTGCTAATTTTAACAGTACGTTACTTGTGGCTTGTGGCATACCTTTATGGATACAATGATAGGTAATGTTTTCTTAGATTTTTTTAAAATGATTTTTCGAGATAACTATTTTACTGTTTTATCAATTGTTCTCACTGTCATGTATGTATTTGTTACTCCTTGTTAAACCACTGCCTCATAATAATATTATATCAGTCACATTAAATATGTTATGAAATTATTGATCATTATTTTTAAACTGTTGTACCCAATAATGTTTTTTCACAGCATCCAGTGATAACCTTTCTTTGCTTTGATAACGGAGAAGCTGAAAAGAAAATTAATTCTGAATTTTACATAAACATTATTTAAGACCCTAAAGAAAAATTGTTAAGTTCATGCTATGCATAGTAACTGTTTGCCACTAGCATTACCCTCTCTACCTGGATTTTGTATTTCATTGTTTATAGTAATTAGGGTCTTTCACTCTCAAAACAAAAGTGGTTGAGGACATCTGATTATAATGCAGGCACTGATTGCACATAGAACTTAGAAATCTTAAAGCTTTTGTCATTTCAACTTAAAAAAAAATTAAGTTAACTTTAATTAAAACAGAAACTTTTTATTCAGTATAGATTATAAATAATACTTATTGAAAGTCACTCTTTTGTTTAATTACCACTAGTTAGAAAAAAAAAATAACTTGAATTTAGCTGAAGCTGTTATCAATGCCATCAGCTGCTTTAAAACCTCCAATTTTGTGTGGTTGTATTAAGATAAAGTAATACCTTAGATATTAGATCCTTAGCACCTTCTGAGACATGTTCAGGGTATGTCATATCTACAGCAAGAATTCTTGAATATGTCTTGTCCTGGCCTTCACTCTCAAATGGCGGTTTACCCACTAGGAACTCGTATAATAATACTCCAATGCACCAGTGGTCAACTGATACATCATAAACTTCTCTTCTTATCATCTCAGGTGGGAGATAATCTAAGGTTCCACACATTGTCTTCCGTCTAAAATATAAGGAATATTAAGATTTTTGTCAGCTATAATGCTGTATCCCTCGTAAATTTCGATAAGAGTGATAATGAAGTCAAGTCAGAAGCTAAATAATCCCACAAAAAAATGTTAAAGCACAGTTAAAAACACAGGGGCTGTAACTTATTCTTAATCCCTCACATATAAAATATAGAGTGATAAAATAATTGGCGATAGGCTAGAATAAAGTGTCAGAGACTAGAAAATAATTCCATTTTACAATTAATAAAATGTAGATTAACCTACCTTTCTGAAGGAGCATGCACTGACCAGCCAAAGTCAGCAAGTTTGAGATCACCATTGAAGGCAACTAAAATATTTTCTGGTTTAATATCCCTATGTATAACATGGCGTTGATGACAGTACTCAACTGCATCTGCAACCTGAAATTTTATCGATATCAAAAGTAGTATGAGGGCGACACTGAAAGTTTTTAGAACTGGCCACTTGTAAACAATATAATAAAAAAATAAGTTCAAATTTTGAAAATGGAACTCTTTGTAAATATTATTGTGTAATGTATTTAATTAATTTGTCATTTGTTTACGATTTGGTGGCAAATTGGAAATTGACTGTTACGTCAGCATGAATTTAACACAAGAAAATTTTCGTACAATGATTTTTTATGACTTTCGATGTCATTTAAGTCAACAAGAAAGTTATGATAGACTTCGAATGGTCTTTTACGATGAAGCCCCATCTTGTGCCACTGTTTACAACTGGTTTAATGAGTTTAAACATGGTCGCACTAATCTCACCGATGATCTGCGTGAGTGACGGCCTTCTACGGCGATGACTGAAGATAACATCAGTGTTGTGCAGCATATGATAGAGACTGACTTATTAGCAGATGACGATAGATAATAGAAGAGTGACTTATTAGCAGATTCGAACAAGCTTGGACATCGGTATGATTCAAGTGCACAAAATCCTCTATGAACATTTAGTGGTCAGGAAGCTCTTTGTGCCCGGTGGATACCTCATAATTTAATAGAGACCCAAAAACTCCGTCGTGTTGATTGGTGTCGTGGAATGGTTCAGATTTAATGGAGGTGACTCAAATGCTGTGTTCAACATACTTACAGGTGACAAAAGCTGGATTTATTGTTATGATCCTAAAACTAAGAGACAGTCTGCTGTCTGGGTGTTTCCTTCCAAGGAGTTGCCAACTAAAGTAAGAGAGGTCGAAGCGTGGGAAAAAAGATGGTGGCCTCGTTCTTCGGAAGAACAGGTCATTATACAACAATTGTTTTAGAGGATCGAAAAACAGTTACTGCAGAGTGGTACACTAACAATTGTTTGCCACTTGTTTAAGAAAAGTTCGGGAGAAACGACCTCTCAGTAGGATCCTCCTTCACCACGACAATGCCTCTTCGCACACCGCCAAGCAAACAATTATTGACTACTTGGCGACGTCAGACGTGGAATTACTGTGTCACATGCCCTATAGCCCTGACCGCGCACTTTGCGATTTTTATTTATTTCCGAAAATAAAAGAAAAACTTTGAAGACGACATTTCATGGATGCCGAGGAAGCAGTGGCTGCTTTTCAAAATGCCTTCGAAGAGAACACTAAAGACAAGTGGCCGAGGTGCTTTTCTCAGTGGATCCATCGGATGCAGCGATGTATTGATGTAAATGGACACTATTTTGAAAAGATATAATAAAACTAATAACTTGCTAGTTTGTTCAGTTTTCCATCTTCTAAGAACTTTCAGTATTATCCTCGTAAGTAAACTAATTCAAAAAACTAAAATGTTTAAAAGGCTAGCAATACACTTGCATGAGTGCTCTTGCTAGATAGCATGGTGTAGTTGATTCTCTGAAATTCATCATATATATATATATATAGCAGCTTAACACTGATGTCATATGGTGAGTATAAAGAACCTGAGACCCCTTTTATTGGAAAAGAGGCATTCCATCTTAGTCCTCATGGGTGACACAGCATCTGCATTTTGATTCTTTATTGAGAATGGTAATATTGCTGAGGATGTAAGATGTCTATGGGTCACAGCAACCACTTACCATAAGGTGAACTGTGTGCTCATTTGTCACCCTATCATATAAAGTTTCATAAACATTATATAATTTTTTTATTTGAATGACTTAATTTAAAAAAATGTAAGCTATAAGGCAATTACTTGATAAATGTATTTAGCAGCCTTTGCTTCTGTAAAATGGCCTTTAGGTGCGCTTGTGAGGTGTTTGTATAATTCTCCACCAGCAGCAAACTCTACAACAAGGTAAATGCGTCTCTCATCATGAAACCAATTCAACAGACGTAAAATGTTTGGATGTCTGTAAAGAAATTTTGATTATTAGTGATACAAATATGTATTAATATATTAAATTAAATATTTAAGATTTAATAAACACAAATGTTTAAGATTTAATAAAAACAATTTAAGACAGAAAAATATATTACTACATTCATGTTAAAATGTATGATATTTTATTTACTTTAAGTGAGACTGAATTTCAATTTCACGCATAACTTGTCGTTCACATTTTGACTTTACAATCTGTGACTTGAATAAAGTTTTGATAGCGACCATGTAGCCAGTTTTCTTTTCTATAGCAACGTGTACATGTCCAAATTTCCCTCGTCCTAATGCTGAACCTAGCTCGAAATCTCTAGGAGACCATTTGTACCTGGAAATAATTTGTTGCTGATGTAACTCGTCAGATATTTACATTGTCTAAAAACAATAAATAAATAAAAAATTCTTTACGGCTTTCCGTAAGCGTCATGGTTCATTATTTTGTTTTCAAGTTCCAACACTTCACTCAAATCATTCTTCATGGTCATAGTAGGTATATTATAATTTCACAAAATGTAAAAGATTACAGTTTCGTTATAGTTTACAAAATAAAGACATAAAAATATATACTATATTCTCGCCTATAAATATATTATAGTCGTTTCTTAACCGACCGTTTCAACTTTCAAAAACTGACGTTTGTAATGTAATTCAAATTCAGCCATTAATACTTTTTTTTCTTTTACTCGTTCGGTTACTTTTTTGCCAGTGTCAATTAATAAGAAATTTTCCTGGAAATGACATCAACGACTTTTTCTGCCACCAGGGCGGCGCCATTAGAAAGTGAGGTATAATATTTGACAGATTTCATAGCGGTGAAGTTTGTTCGGAAAATGTAAGTTATTATTTCTTTCTGTACTATTAGCTATATTTTAAATTAATAACATTAAAAATAAATAAACAAAACCACAGATATTCATAAAAGTAGATAAATAAAAAAATAAAGTTAAAAATGTGCAAAAAATTAAAGAGCAAAGCACTGACACATTGTTTTTTGTATTGTTATAATACTCTAGAAACTGATAAACTTTTATTAAAAAACAACTTCCCAATTAAATTACATTGTGTAACAAAAACAATACCTCAGTGTCAAGTAGCGACATCTGGTGAGCACAAAATTATTAGCCTACATTATGGTGACAGCTTAATCTAGCAAGTCCATGACGACTGAATCTAAAGTTACACAAAATTATTTGAGATTTATAACACCATTGGATTTATTTCAACATTGGAGCATTTATTTCATCCTTTTTATTTATAGTTCACATGCATAGATACTGATTAAACCAAATCGCATCACTACTACGTATCAAAATACTCTGTTTGAAACCAATATTTATTAATTAATATTTTTATTTATACGATAAAACTAGCAACAATCCACCGCGCCGGTGGTTAATCACCAAAACTAGACTTTACTTACTACATAGAATTTTTAGTAGAACTAGAAGGTTGATTCTGATTTTAGTGTCAAGTCAATTCGTCGGAATAAAGTTAAATTTTGATAACTCATAAAAGTAAGGGTTTGCGGCCTAGACAAAGACGCACTTTTTAGTCGCGCTGTTTCGTTCCCACAGTTGCCATAAAACAATAATAAATTTATGGGGTGGTAATTACAAAGCTTCGGAACATAAACATCTACCTAAAAGTGCAATGCCCGTTACACGAGCTATCAAAATTCACGAAGTTTGTCTCATAGATATGATTATTGTGATTTTTTCGGCATATAATTAGAAAAAGGCACAGTTAAGGTCCATTCAATTAAATGACATTTAAAAAAGAAAATAAAATTTATGATACTGGCGACACGGACCCGGTTTCATGACCAATATGGCGTTCGTTTGTTTACTTGTTTCTATTTTATATACAACAAGTTACTATACTCTTTGATATACAATAATCTATGTTTATTGTTTACTTCTATTGGCGGTTTTCATAAAACTGTGACTTTGACTCTTAATTTTGGTTTGTTTAAGAGTTTTTGGTTTAAAGTGGTTCGAAATTGTGTTGTAAATGGCTGTAAAGGAATAATATACAGGGTCATTTTTAGGGTTGGCTATAGACGTCGGGTACTTGATTTTAATTATGTTTTCAGTTTAGGAGGCTTTTTAGGGTTAAGTTTGAATCTTTTACACTGTATTTGGATGTCGGAAATGCGTTTTGAATTAATTACGATAAAAATAAATTTCACTAAAAACTGCGTATAACGAAACACAAATATGTCAATTTGGTCAAGTATTATGAAGTAACATCGAGTACTTGATTTTAATTACGTTTTCAGTTTAGGTTTGTTAGGGTTAAGCTAGAACCTTTTATACAGTTTTTGAATTATGGAAATATGTTTTGAATTAATTACGATAAAAATAAATTTCAATAACTAAAAATTTCATATAACGAGACGGGTCACCCATAAAGAAGTTAATTACTCGGACCCAGACAATCCATTTGTGGCGAAGATCGGACTCATATACAACGAATTGAGTCGCAGTGAAGAGCAGTCAAAGAGGTTTTCCAGAAAACAAAATTCTAACAATTCACATTTCATTGTTTCGTTTACCACTATCATAGCAGAGTTTAGGGCAACCTGACTTTATTAAGAAGATAGGTCGAATCTGTACTAAAACTATATCAGAACGCCCCGACTTCACGTAGTCTTGTATGCCCTACCTCTAGAGTGTTTTTTTAAGCCGTAGGCGCGGAGGGAGAGCAGCCTCCGGCCGCTGTTGCAAATCGCAGGCATCTGTGTGAGCCGTAGCAGCTGAGGCTAGTCGCCGAAGGCGACCAATAAGCCGAAGCTGTGGAGGTGAGCATGGATACTTGTGATTTGCTACGCAAGGGCGAAGGGGCTGCACTTTCCGCAGAGCCAAAGCCGTGGTCGAAGTAACTTTGAGTCAATATTCCTGTATAAAAAAGTGAGTAATTAAGTTGATTATGCAAAAAAAATCCATAAGAACTGGTCTAGTTTAAAAAATTTGTTATTTTTAGTAGATTTATCATGAAAAACTGCCTTAAAATGGCTAAAATGCATAAATGCATGAATATATCTATGAGAACCGGTTTAGCTTAAAAATTTTGTCATTTTTAGTCGATTTATCATGAAAAACTGCATTAAAATTCTAAAACTTCAAATACTCGTAAAAAATTTCAGAGGCATTTGCGCCAAAAATCCCTTTGGGGTTTTTCATCATTTATGTTAGTAAACACGAAAAAATTTTGGTTCAAATCGAAAGTGTCCCTAGAACGGAACTTAATTCCAAAAACTATACCATGTTTTGCTTTAGTTTTAATTTAGTTCATGTTCAAAAAAGATTTGATAAAGTTTCTATGCCGTCAAAAACATGACTTGTAAAAAAAACTAAGTCTCGCAACCCAGTTCTTCTATCGTAAAAAGTTGTGAGATCCATGTAATACCAAGTCTCTTAATTTATTCAGTCCCTACTTAAGGGTCCTTCTGTCTTAAGTTATTATGTAATTAGCTAACCTAACAACATCTTAGTGACCATATCAATATTATAAATCTTTTATGTTTTAAATAAAGAGATTGACTTGGCAATCGCACTAAACAATCTAATGATCATGAAAACACAATATATCTCACAAGTAATACATAATATATTAAATTAGATTAATTCCGGCTTCTAGTTTTATCCAAAAACGAAGTTATAGGGGTCGGAAATGGCCTGAACTGCTTCGAGAAAAGGATGGTACGGCCGTGCCGCTTTTTTGCTCGACTTGGCAGGCGCACTGCCGTGCTCCCAGATTATTTTCCCTATACGGGGCCACTCATACATGGAGTGTGATAAAAACATGGGGCTTATAAATCAAAAAATCCCATGTGAATTGCCTTCTGATTGAGTTTATATGAAGATTTGCAATGCTTAAAAAATTTGTGAGCCTGATACTGAATATTTTTATAAACATGTATTACATAAGTAATAAAATTATTAATTTTATATCCCATGATTTAAAACAACCTAGTGTGTCCTATATTTGGTGTATCCTATGTTTGGTTTGTGCTAAGTAAAGCCGCGTCTCCACTAAAGTTTTGTTGCCAACACAACAGTTGGAAACAAAACTTGAAACAATGTTGGGAACCGTGTTTTCATTTTCGGCGGCAAGATCAAAGGAATACGCTTGTTGCAAACATTTGTTCCCTCGGTGGAGACGCTTGTTGAAAACAGTTGTAAACAGTTGGAAACCTAACTGTTGTCAACATTTTTGGTTGATACGCGGCTTTAGACTTACATTCTGTTAAGGAAGATCAAAGTCACTGCACTATGATCTTTTTTATCAGATTTATTTTGTTACAAACTTCAAAAGTAAGATTTAACTGTAAGGTATTTGTATAATAAAAAATAAGATCTAAATAAATAATTCAATTAACTTCTAATTATATAAAAAACATAAATCCATAAAAATGTAAAAAGGATCACAATTCACTGACATTGATCTTTTTTGCAGTAATGTTAGATTGGACAATTGTTTTCTTACTTCAATTCTGATGTAGCATTAGTAAAAAAAAATCATGTTGGTATAATTTTGTAACTCATATATTGTATTATTAAAATGTACTGCACAATAAACACAAAAAATAAGTTTTATCAGTTTTCTTAACACAATCGTCAAGTGACAATGGCCTTTCTTTCCCTGTACCATTTTAATTAAAAACATAATATCGGTCCTCTATATGGCCGGCCCCTTGCCGCTTGAGCTTACTAATCCTTTGGGCTATGTCGGTTACTCTGGTTCTCTCTTCTCTTCTTCTCTATATCTCTATTTTCTCCTGTATCGTAGAGGCAGTTAACAAACCTCCGATGTTTGTCCTCGTGAAATCTATTTCACGAGGACAAACATCCAGACCCGGAACAATTATTTGGAGTTCCTTACAAATAATTGTTCCATGTGGGATTCGAACCCGCGGCCCCCAGCTCAACAACTCATTGCTAAGCCACTGCGTCACGTTCTACTGTGGATATCCTCGTTTTTAAGTCTATCACGCAGAGAAAAGTCCAGCATAGCCCTCTTCATAGGTCGCTGAGCGACTTTGAGCCATATAGCGCGTAAAGTCGACAACCGATGGGGAAGAAAGGTTCTCGAGTGGCAGCCTCGTACCGGTAGGCGAATTGTAGGGCGTCCCCCCTCTAGATGGATTGACGACCTGGTAAGACATACAGGAAGTCAATGGATGCAGGTGGCTCATGACCGTGTTTTGTGCATTCCTTGGGGGAGGCCTATGTTTAGCAGTGAACGTGTGAAGGGCTGTAATGATGATGATCTGTCTTCTTGACACTGAACGCTTTTTTATCTCATCTTCATTAAATAATGACCAAAAAAGAAGATATGAACTAAATGATCCTAACGCGTGTTTAAACAGAAACTAAAATGGCGTAGGCTCCGCCCATTACGTAGTGCTGTCCATGACTGTTCATTCATTGCAATGCTATTGTTTATCATATTGATTACAAAATAGATTAATCGTCACATACAT